TATATATATATATATATATATATATATATATATATATATATATATATTTATTTATTTATTTTTATAATGCAGATAGAGATAAACGGCAAGCTGCTCATTTTAATCTGGTTGTTCCTAATAACATAAACGTCACCAGCAGCTGATTTTTTCACCTGCTCATTAAAGTTAAATCTGTAAAATACATTTTTTATTTATGCGTTCCTTGTAGCTCGTGTCTGGTCTCAGCTAAATATTATTTTAATAATATAGATAATAAAAACTCACACTGACACTGTGTCATTACCACAGGTGTTTTTGAAATGCTTTTAAAAGGATGTTTAAATTACATTTCACATAAGATCATGGTTATTATATTTTTAGGTTGGATTTCTGTTTGCTGAAGATTATTTCTGTGTTATGTAGAGTTCATTTTTTTGTGTGTTCTTTATTTGAAAAAAGATCAAGACATTGATCTGACATATCCAGACTTATTAAACAAATTCATTAAAATGACAGCAGATAATGCTGTGAAAAATGAGGAAGGGAAAAAATGTTAATTTTGGCCATATCTAAATTAATAATGTCTTAATTGATGTGTTTTCAGGTTGTATGGTACAAGTTCAGAACTTTGACCCAATTCTTTCATCAGTCTGTTGCGATTCATGATCATACAGGAGTCTGAAACATTGTTTCTTATTAAATGTATTCACTATTTCAGGGTCGATCAGTTCTGTCATATGTGATGAATTGGCTTTTTCAAAATAAAATTAATCTTATCTTTTTTATGACACCTTCTCACTTATTAGGGTTTCTGTACTGTAGGGGAAAATATTGAGCTTTCTATCATATTTGTGTGTGAGAATGAAATTATTATTTACTTCGAGTTCTGTTTTCTTTACTTGGTGTGCCCCCCACCCTGCCGATTAATTTTCCAAAGCAGGGCGTTCTTATGAAAGTCAAATACAGATTCAAACAGGAAATCAGCAAAATACTTCTATTAATGAACTTCTCTGAAAAAAAGTAGCTTCTTCAGTTAGCTTTGGTTGAAATGTAACTAATTCAGGTAAATTATCATTTTTGGCCCACGTAATCTTATTACGTTAAATATGTTGTGCCTGAATGTATGAGACTTTCTGTCATTTCTCAACAGTAACAGCCAGTCTGTACT